GAACCCTACTTGAACTGATGGTTTTACGCGGTTGTACTGATGATTTTCATCTCATCGAACTGATCGTCTTTTCGTCAGAATGGGGCGTGTAATACACCTTTGGAAAGCTCTTGACATCTACACTACAAATATATAGGATTTTTTTGCAAAATCATCACGGTTTAAGAGCAGTTTTGAAAAAAACCGTTTTTTTCAAAACCAAAAATGCGAATTGTATTTTGGACTCAATTTTCAAACGGTTTGTCGGAATTGAGCAAATAAGATGGCGTTGGAAAGCTGGTAAAAATCTGCATCTTCCATATATCTACTGTTTTTTCAAATTATATAAAATTTAAAAGTAATTTGAAAAACAGTGGAATTTTAGGCGAAACATATTTTCGCGTTTTTTATCAACGGTTTGTCGGATTGACGCAAATGATACGACGTTGAAAAGCTATGGGAAATGCACAACTTTTTCGTATAGAAATATTTTTCTAATTCCTTACACAATTCGAATACGGTCAAATTTGATTTTGAACATGATTTTTTTAAAAAGTATGTCGAAATGGGGCAAATAATATACCGTTGGATAGCTATCGAAAATGCGAAAATTAGTCATGTTGTACGTTTTCTCTACTTCGCAACTGTTTAAGAGTAATTTTGAATAAGGTGAAACCTATTGTGTTGTTTTTTTGTCTAAAAACAGAGTACTTGTACTGATATATGTATGTGTTTGTACTGAGGTATTTTTAACAGTAGTTTCGAATGGTTCCAAAAAAGCGTACTTGAATGGATGCCCGTATGGTTTTGTACTAAGCATGTTTTCCACATACTAGACTTTGCTCTGTTTTTGCGCTATCGTTTTTCTTATAACTTTTTAGTGGTTTATGATATTATCGTTACTCTGAGCATTGGGCGCCGGGGCACGGGCGATGACGGCGACGCTCGCGGCGGCGCTCGTATTGATCATCGTCCCCGAATTTGCATGGTTTTATATCGTTGAACTGAATCACATTTTATCTAAAGAAAAGTATTGTGTTTTTTTCCAACTCTACAATTTTTTCAACTTTGTTCCGGACTTCTCTCATTCCACGACCTGAACTTTTACCATTTGAATTTCCGTGGGGTTTCTTTTTGTTTGAGCTTTTTCTTAAAACTTATCTAGTACGTCATGTTGAACTTACAACTTTTTAAATTATGAACTTATTGTGTTTTTACAATTCCAAAGCTAGCAAGTAGTAGGAGATTCACCCAACAAATGGGCTAATTACATGGAGCAGCCACATTAATAGCACTTGACCTTATAGAAGTGAAAGTTTTTGGTTTTAAGTCATATTTGTTTTCTTGTCCGAACTTATGGTACCATCATCATCGAACCTACATGGTTCGTGTAGCTGAACTAAAATAAACTTTTTACCCAAATAAATGTGTTATGTTTTTTCTTTGAGCATATATTCCTCGGGTCAATAGACGAACTGACATCATTTTATTTTTTGAACTTATATGCTATTAATAATTAAACACTTTTTATTCTTGCACGCACATCAAGCTGTCATGTATACCTTATTTAAAGAAGTAGCAATCATCTCATCATATATAAAATTGTTTTCACACATATAATACATGTAAATGAATAACTTATACACCACACCAACTTCACATTTTCATACATGAATGACATATACACCACACCGACTACACATTTTCTTGCTATTAGAAGCCTCTTCAGATTTAAAGGTTTGTAACGGGCATAATAAATTAACCAAAAACCAAATTACGAAGGTCAAAGTTCTGGAATTACAGACCAAAAAACAAGCAAACAAAGGATAAATAGAGGATTGCCAGGGTCTAAGAGAGATCAATTGCAATACACTTTCACTCCATTTTTCACTCATTAATAGCATGACTGAATAAGAAGTTCAAAACTAGAGCAGTAGCACTTTCACTCCATTTTTCCTTTCAGTATCGTTAGACACGAGCTCCTTGAGAAAGCTTGCACGGTCAATAGCACGTTGGTCCTGCAACTGTGTCGATGTGGAGAAGGAGCCTCCAGGTCAACCCGCAACTGGGTAACTTCTCTGCACTACAACAAATCAAAAGCAGTAAATGTACACATTTTGGACATACAAGCATAATGGAAATTTGTAGAAATAACATGGTGTATCCTGATACAAAGTACTGATGCTTTGGGAATTTTTGAACAGAGAAAATAATTGCAGGCGGCTCAAGCGTCAAGAGCAGAAGAGCATGGGCTCACCGGGGAAGGAGGTAGACAAACGACAGTGGTTGGCCCAACGCCCGGCTTGCCGACATGCTTCAGTTCGGGCTAGATTCATCAAAGATGTCAAGGTTATAAGCACTGTAAGAACAACCAAGATTGAGATAATACACTAAGCACCATGTCTAATTCTTATGTTAGTGGTTGGTCCAATAAAATTACGAGGTCAATGCTTCCATAGAAGTAACAAGATGCAAGCTTAGTTCTTAGGTTACAATTTTGTAAATACTAGTACTGCTACCAGCATTTACAAATACTAGTGAACTTGAACTTGTGGTCTATCGAGATCTGAACTAATTGTGTTACAAGCACTAACACAAAATCTAATGAAACTGGTATAAGTACATGTTAGAAAGATAATCAAGTTCAGGTATATTAATTGGGAGAGGTTCAAAAAGAAACTTCTAAAACATTTGTATTAAAAAGATGTGTACTACATAACATCTGGTGAGGAGGACCAGACTATTGAGAAATTAAGTACTTTTAACTTGTTCTAATCTAGAGTAGCCTGGAAAGAAACAACATATGTGTTGCATCAGTTTATGCACTAATACATCATTAGTTCATAACCAAAAGTATGGATGTCACATCCTAGAAACCTTTGCAATTGACATGGGGATGCTTCCATATGCACCTTCGATCATGCACCAAGACATTTCATTTTATGTTTTTTATAGTAGAACAAATACTAATTTTTATGCCAAGTAAGTTCAAACAAAACAGAAGTGGAGATTCATTTGTAAGAATAGAAAAGAACACGTGCTTCTTTTGATCAATATAGGCATAACACCTATTGTGCTACAGGAAGAACATGGGAACAATGAGGAAATTGGACTTGCAGTTGTTAAGTAGGTGAACTGAAAAGCATACAAAACATACACTTAAGAGCGGGATCCGGCCGATGACGTTGCGGCGGGCCGTCACCACACACACGGCCACACCCCACCTCGCCAAACTGAATGAAATTTATAAATTGAACCGAACTAAAAGAAGAATTTGGACATCATGTGTACATCAAGAAATAAACTTGAGCAGTGCCAACTACTAAAGAAAAAGTTTGGTATATTGAGCTTAGAGATTGTATATCGGTGAACTTTTTCTCCCTACAGAATTGTTAATCAAATAGATGTACTGTTCGCAAGGTTTTATCAACATGATAAGTAGTAGCAGTACTACTCTAGGTGGCAAAGTAGTAGCGGAACAAAAGAAGGCCACCATCAACAGTGAGTACTACCGCGACACCTAAACTATGTGTTGGCCACACTTGCTTTACATAGTACTACAAGATTTTTTTGAAAAAAGTACTAAAAGATTTGTGAACATGAGAGCATATAAAAGTTGTACCGAGGGTGTGAATTAGAGAGGCCGGAAGAGGATGCAGCAGCACGCACACACCACCAGACAAGTTCTCCTATCTCCAGAGCACATGTATACATACACACATCTCCATCTACAACAAACAAAAGAAATTCATATGTGCTCACATATGCTGTTTCTTTTGAATTCCCTATCAAATGATCAGTTTCAGTAGCCGAGAAAATTGGCTGAACCTCATAGCTACGAAGATGAATTTGATTTAACCTTCACACATAGAAAGTTTGAACTTCGCTCAAAAGCTAAATAGTTCAACCACAAACATACAAGCAGAAAACATGCAAATTTTGGTCCTGTTTAGACATATATCAGGAGAATATCTAGAGACCAGGGGCGGATCCACCATTGGTCATGGGTGTACAGATGTACACCCAAAATTTTCTGAAAAAAATCGTATATATGTATCACAGAGACAATAATCTACAATGTATAGGCCCATTAGTAGCCCATTTCAGAAGCAACAGTGAGCTGTCTTCACGCATGCAGCCAGCCATCAATTTCATCTGCCCATGGACTAGGTGGCGACACGTTGCTGGCTTGCTGTGTGCCCATGGCGAGTATGGCGAGGGAGAGCTTGACCAAGCCACCGACGCCGAACGGGATGGAGCCTCCCATGGTTTTCACCACTACGGAGGACAAAGGCAAGCTGCACGGTGCCGCGCCCACTGCCACCAACAGGGATTGCGATGCACCGAAGGTGGGGACAACCGGACGAACGGCGCGGCTGCAGTCGTCCATGCCATACCAGTGTAGCCAACAACCTCAATCTCTAAGCATAAGGCAAATCCCTTTCCAATTTTGAAATTGCAATGTTCACTGAATGTGTTGTGAATTCCGCAACTAAGTGTGTTGCTTATTTTCGGATAGAGAGATATAGATCTACAGATGTCACATGAGTGAGGATCTGGTTGATTTAATTAGCATAAAAATAACAAATAAATTGTCTTTGAATTGTAGGCAGTATAACATTCAAAACTTAGGAGGAAGGACATTGATTTGAAAACTTTATGGAGTAGAGTGAACAATTTCGTTAATCTTCTAGTAAGATATTATTGCTATTGTGAACAATTTGTATTGCGTGAACCCAGTTGGATTCTCTGTTAGGGTGAGAAAAAAATTTGAATGCCCAAAGTTGAATTTCTGGATCCGCAACTGCTAGAGACCACCGCTCAAATTCTTGTCTATGAACTGTCAAGCAAGCATCAATTATACGAAGATGTGGGGATGAGATGCCGAAACACAGACAGGTGTAGGTGAAGAAGAACTGCCGACGAGCCAGTAGTGGACAGAGGAAGAAGGCCACATGGGAGGAAGTAGTGGGCAGTGGGTGGATGAGTCGACGGCATGCAGGGGCAGCTTCGAGCGGCGGTCAGCCATGGATGGAGTGGCACACATGCGCATCACCACCCATGACCACCATCTTGCATCGCGCGTCATGCATGTCCTCTGCATCCCTAGCGTGGGTGTCACCGCTGGATCCTCCGCCTCCTACCCGCAGAAGAAGCAAACGCCGGATCTCATCGCCGGAAATCTTCACGCGGAGGTCATCGGTGGTTGAGGCGCGGTTCGCCATGGGGCGGGGATTACCGGCGTGCGGCGACGGGGCGAGGGATGGTGGCTCTCGGCGGTGGGGCGAGGGGTGGTGGCGCGCAGCCGCGGCGCAAGGGGTGGTGGCGCGCGGCAGTGGGGCGAAGGGTGGTGCCGCACGGAGGCGGGGCATGGGGCGACAACGAGATGGGATCGAGAAAGTAGGTGGTTTGGGGGGAGGGGGTTAGTGGGTTGTGCGGGATGGATTTTTCTTTTCCTTTTCTATCGGGATGGTTCGAGCTGGTGGGTTGGATCGAGAAGCTGTAGTTGTGTCACGCTCGTGTCTATATAGGGTCGAGGGTAACAGAATAATATTCTGTTACCCCTCGACCTATAAAGGGCGTGAAGGAAAAAAAGGAAAATCTAGCCCACCCACTCCTGCATCCCCGTCTCCGGCTGGATCCCAGTGATGGCCAGCCCCACCTTCTCCCCTGTCTGGACCCTGGTGATGCCCCGCTCCCACCTTCTCCCCGGCTGGATCCCGGC